GATATGAATATTTCGAGAGCCTGAGTTTGCTTTCATAAGGTACTTTTCAGCTTTGCTTTATTGGCGACTGAGTTGGTATAATTTTATCTAATGGCGGGTTCTCACTCACTCTCTCTCTCTGTTATATATATATATATATATATATATATATATATATATATATATATATATATATATATATATGATGCCTGATGAGATGCGCTGATTCGCATCAAAAACATGTCTGTAATTGTGTAGGGATTTTGTACATGTTTTTGGTGTAATATCCTAAAATAAAGAATATTGAACCCTCTTTTACATTAAATGTTACATACGTTGAAATTGTACACTGTTCGTTCTCATTTGAGACACACACACAGACACACGCACACATATATACACACACACATATATATATATACACACACACACACATATATATATATATATATATACACACACACACACATATATATACATCTATATACACACATATATATATATATACACACATATATATATATACACACACACACATATATATATATATATATGTGTGTGTATATATATATATATATATATATATATATATATATATAAGAACACCGGATTATATATCTTACTGCTCTTTTTTTTTTTATATATATATATATATATATATATATATATATATATATATATATATATATAAAAGAAATATAATGTAGTGGTTCCAACGAGAGAAAAGTATGTATATTAAAAAGAAGAGAAGAGAGGTGCCGCAAACCTTTTTTGGTTGTAATGTGGATTTATTTAGAAAAAAATATTATGCTTTGTTTACATAATTTTACGACACGTGTTTCTGGTCTCGCGATCGTCTTCAGGAAAAAGTGGAGATTTCCACATATTATTAAAAATAATTAATTTTTCCTCATGTTCAATGTTAAATATTCTCGATATGAGACATTTTCTGTTTGTGTGCTGGTAATCTGAATTACCTTCTTGAATTGGCAATGAAGAGTTCTGCGCCAAGGGTCATAAAATATTTAAGGTTGGTCCAGCGAGATGATAAATTAGTTATCGGCATTTTATCTTTTGATGTTTTACTGACCTCTATATGCTCTTGAATCTGTTTCCATTTTGGTGCGTTTCTGTCAGCATGCGTGTATATATGCGTGCGTATATTTCCCCTGCATACATATACTGTCTTACTACGAGGAATTCGTAAACACGTATCGTAAAATTATGTAAAACAAAGCATAATATTTTTTTCTAAATAAATCCACATTACAACCAAAACGTTTACTGCACCTCTCTTCTCTTTTTTTATATATATATATATATATATATATATATATATATATATATATATATATATATATAATAATAATAATAATAATAATAATAATAATAATAACAGAAGAGAAATGGAATCATACACTTGCTTAATACTGTTTATATATATATATATATATATGTATATATATTTATATGTATATATATGTGTGTGTGTCTGCATATATATATATATATATATATATATATATATATATATATATATATTAGAAAAACCGGATTATATATCTTACTGTTCTTTCTTTTTTTTTATATATATATATATGTTTGGGAGTGTGTGTACAGAAGTGAGCAGTTTATTTAAAGAAAAAGCAAAAACAATTAAATAGACAATCAAGTGAAATGGAATCATACACGTGAAATGGTATCGCAACTAAACAAATATGTATAAAACACCTTTATAGTAAATGAGAAAAATAGCCAACCAAGAAATAACTTGTTTTCAAACTCTGGAATTCAAAGAATTGAAGTCTGTTCGAATAAAAACAACTGGAAATGAGAAGAATAGTTTCACAGTCAAGCTTGGTGCTTATAGTGATGCTAAGAAGATGCCTCCTTACGTAATTTTAAACGTCAAACTTTGCACAAAAACTTTGAGTACCCAGCCGGTATGATAGTAAATGTCATGAAAAAGTGTGGATGGATTAGAATCTCACAAAGGACTGACAACTGAAAGTTTGGTGTAAACACAGAACAGAACTTGCAAGGAGTAGACGTATGTTGCTTCTTGATGCATTTTGTTGCCATAGGATGTCTTGCATGAAGAATAAACTTCAGACGAGGACTGATACCTGGGAGAATGACTGGCCAACTTCAAGTAATCGATGTTGTCTTCAGCCGTCGATTTAAACAAGAGATGCGTAAAAAATGGAATGACTGAATGTTTTTTGGTGTTCCCAGTTTTATTGCTGGTGGCAACAGGAAAAAAATACCAGAGCTGAAACTTATTGTAAAATGGATTCAGGAATCTTGGGATTCTCTCAGTGAGGGTGTTATAAAGAGATGTTTCAAGAAGTGTTGTTTCACGACAGCCATGGATGGCTCTGAAGATGACATCCTTTGGTAAGAGAATGAAGAGGCCGAATATAATCTTGAACAGGACGAAGATAATATTGAGAATGATAATTTGTGTAATGACAATTTAGATATTGATTCTATAATAGAAAGTAGTGGTGATGAAGATGAAAATTAAAATTTCAATAAATTGCTAACTTGATATCCTCTTTTCTTCAAAATTAGCCTTTTTATTGATTTAAGAAAATTTTTTTTGCCAAATAAAAAATCGGTTACTAATAACCATAAATTTATTGATAAAACATGTTACAATTATTATTCTTGGATTGAAAAGTAACATTGGGATAATACTTTTCTTATTTTAGAACAACAAATACGTATTTATTATTATAAACCAATAAAGAAAAAATATTTTTGTTTAAACCTATTTATAATACGCACACCTACTATCACCTGTAATTTACAGTAAAAAGCGTATTTTTTCGAGTACTTACGGTAATAATAATAAAAATCTCATCAATGATAATCTTAAAATTAAAATCAAAACTTCAGCTCTTTAACGCGATTTTTCTCGTTAATGCAGATTATGTACCGCTGATGTACAAGATTTTCAAAATTGCCTTATATATATATATATATATATATTTATACACGTTTCATTAAATAATATAGACAAGTGTTGTCTATTTATTTTATGTAAAATTTTTTCGTATCTTCTGATAAGTTTGGTAACATTATCATTAACCGAAAAAAGAAATTCACAATACTTATCCATTATTTCTTTTTTCGGTTAATGATAATGTTACCAAACTTATCAGAAAGATACGAAAATTTATCATAAAATAAATAGACAACACTTGTCTATATTATTTAATGAAACGTGTATAAATGAAAATATGCTGCCTAAATACACACAATTTAAATATATAAATATAATATATATATATATATATATATATATATATATATATATATATATATATATATATATATATATTCATATTCAATCTGACATGCCTAAAAGAGAATTTGCTGTCTAAAACACACACACACACACACACACACACACACACACACACACACACACACACACATATATATATATATATATATATATATATATATATATATATTACAATGAATCATTCATACAAAACGTAGATTAGTAAAGTTAATAATATAAAATGACGAAATCCCTTCGCTAACAAAATTTTAAAGGTGCATTAACCTACAAATCACTAGATGAATGTTATGATCTTTGTTTTTTAAAAATTATGAATACGCAAATACTTTCGACTGTTCTATCAGTCATCATCAGGCATGGAAACTATTTAGTTTTTGATAAAATTCAGGTAGCATCCGAGAGGAAAAAATATAAGGCAAATCGAAATAAATAAAATAGTTTCCATGCCTGATGATGACCGGAGGACCCGTCGAAAGAAATTGCATTTTTTTAAGCAAGACCTAATACAGTTTACAATTTAAAAAACAAGGATCATGACAATCAATATATATATATATATATATATATATATATATATATATATATATATATATATATATATATATAGAGAGAGAGAGAGAGAGAGAGATAGATAGATAGATAGATAGATAGATAGATAGATAAGTATGTATTGTTGGGTTTGTGTGGGTAAATATTTCCTCTTTATCCTTACGTTACGAGGTTGTCTTTTAAAAGAGAGTTTTATTTCACAAAAGCAAGTCTATGTTAACGAGACAATACGTGATTCACGTTTAGCGTGTGAACACTTGATTTTTTGCTGTAGCTATCGTTTCAGAAATTATATTTTCTTTAAAGACAATGACGTATATTAGTATAAGTATATGCAGCTATGCTAGGATATATGTGCGCGGAAGGAATACTTCGTGTCTTATAAATTTCTGATTTACCAACAGCTTCCTTTATTTGCACTTCACATATTTCTTAACAACGACGTCTCTTCTTGCCTCATTTTTTTTCTGTTTTTTTAAATTTTTAAAAAATTTTTTTGTCAATGCGTTTGTCAAATCGCGCAGGCGAACGACAAGATAGCAGACTGCTTTCTGCTTCGCTATTTATACACATGCTTGTTTACCTACCTGCCAATAAATTCGTCTCTCTCTCTCTCTCTCTCTCTCTCTCTCTCTATATATATATATATATATATATATATATATATATATATATAGCTCTCTCTCTTTCTTTCTCTCTCTTTCAAGCTTCCAAACGTTTGCCTGGTTGCAACATTGTCTCTCATATCCTTTGTATCAATCAATGTGACGCCAATCATGTTAATGAAGGTTTGAGTTTTCACAGAGTCAACGCTCTTACTGAAGAGTTGCAAGTGGATTGACAGTCGGCGGTAGGAACAAACCTGGCTTGCTAGTTGAGGATTGCATGCATATTTTTATATAGGGCTGAGTGCGCGCGTATTTAATTAGAAACATGCAAACAAGTACACGTTCAGACGTGTGATCTGATGGACTTCCTTGAAGAGCTTGCTATAGTTCGTTTTCTCTGTTGATATCTTTTATAGCGACTCTCTATACACGTTAATCGGTTTTTCTGCTCCTCTATGAATAAGCGATCTACCTAGCAGTTCAGGTATTTGAATGTATATTTAATTTATTCAGAACATTTCGAAATTAACACTAAGAAGACAAGATAGGACTTGCGGCTACATCACGTTGAAACACCCGTTCTCGTACGATCACCGAAGTTAAGCAACGTTTAGACTGGTTAATATCTAGATGGGTGAGCGCGTAGGAATAGCAGTAAGGTATAAGCTTCGATTTGCATGTAGCGCAGTGGATAACGCCACGGAATTGTTAATCTGAGAGATGAGTTCCAATTTCTGCTGCGCTCGTTATATTGACGTTCCCCGCAAAAAATATTCTACCCCCAGCTATGGGTTAATTATTAAGATTTGTATCACTAAAACCACTAACATCACAAAAAATAAGTAATTAAAATTGTGTACAAAATATACAGATGACAGCATTAAACAACCAGTAGAGGTTGATATGCTGCCAAAACAAAAACAACTAAACCTCTGCCTTGAGTGACTCCCAGACTTCGTATTATGTGAACATTTAATTAAAAAACAAAAAAACAAACAATAACCAAGATACATGTTATATGAACTGGAAAAAAAGATATTTTTCACACTTTAATACGCGCATGACCGCGATATAACAGTGAAGAAAAAAATTCCACAATGGAAATTTTTTTACGTGTTCTAATGAACGAAAACACATTGTCAACCGTTTGCATTTGAAAGCATAATTAAAAATTACAGTAATATGTGTTCTTGTATAACTACTTGTACCCCTGAACAACACACAGTTTTGTACTACTTACGCCGCTGAAGATGATCTTGGAAGAAGATCGAAAGTACTTTAGTAATGAGAAATAAATATGATTAAAACAGGTATAGCACATTTCTCACATTATTTAATATCAATACACATAATGTTATTTGTGAGCATGAACGGATTTTGTTAAAAATCAGCAGACATAATGTTTGTAATTTATTCAATCAGACATGCCTAAAAGAGAATTTGCTGCCTAAATACATAGATTCATATATATATATATATATATATATATATATATATATATATATATATATATATATATATATAGTTTATGGAAAACTAGGTAATCCGTATGGGTAGACCCAAGTAGGATAAAATCCAGAGAGCTCAATGTAATAATTTAAATAAAAAAAAAAGACCACTTTAAGGTTCAATGTAATACATTATTTCACCACAGTCCTTTGTCAATGTGTCAATGTCTGGACCTCCTCAAGTAATTTTAAGTATGAAAGAATAGAAATATTAAATTACATCTAACTCACTCATGACTTCTCTCACGTCCTCACTTCGTTAATTTACATATGCTTAATACGGCCCGTCAAAAATATGTATATTTCTTTTCATTTTTTGTTTCATCCTTTGGAAGTAAAGTCTGATGATTTAAAAGGGCTGTGGTGAAATAATTTATTACATGGAACCTTAAAGTGGTCTGTATTTATTTTTATATATATATATATATATATATATATATATATATATATATATATATATATATATATATATATATATTTACCTTCCCAAAGCGGTGTCAAGCGATTGCGTACCCACTCAGCGTTCTTCACTACTATATTTGTCATGAAATAAACCAAACCGTGACGATGAAATTGTTGGATGTCGAAAAGTCCTCGAAATAAAATAACATGTATCAACACGGCGATTTCCTCTCTTCTTTTAATAATGAAACAAATAGCTTCTCCATGTATATGATATATATATATATATATATATATATATATATATATATATATATATATATATATATATATTCCATATATATAAGATTTTCTATGAGGTATCACAAAAATATGCAGAACTAAAGAGATAATTTCAGAAGGGGTCCCTGAATTGCTAACCTGGCCATGTGACCAATGCTTTCGGTTATGTCTGTCCAGGGCAGGTCTGCTCATTCACCAGAAATCACACCAACACCAACGATGATTTCGTAATGGCATGCACTGGATACCCGACCTGCACTAGAGTGTGCAAGTCTAGTCGGCCTTGAAAAGGCATATAAAAAAATACATTGGAAGTGAGGATGTCCAAAGTCAATTTCCACCACCCGTATATAATTTGACATGGCATATATGTAACAAGAAATGCAGGACAATGGCTGATTTTATGAGCCACTGTCGTTCACACAACAAATGAATGCAGTTTTGTGTGGGGGGAGCTTAATTCATGGACTGGACAAGTCAGTGATGGTCACACTCGCTTTGCGAGTCGACAGCCACTACATATATATATATATATATATATATATATATATATATATATATATATATATATGATCTTAGCTCAGACGATTCTGTTTATACCTTAGATATAAAAAAAAAAATGGGTTCGCTATATTCACTTACAAAATACACCTAAGAAAGGTATGAATCCACCCTCTCACCCCCAGCTATGCGTTAATTTTAAGACTTTCATCACTAAACAATTAACTCCGCCGCTAATTTCTATCAATCTAAGAATATTTTTGGGCTTTAAATAACCTGCAGATTGTTGATAAAACGTAGAAAACGAGGCCATCAAATAAAACACTGAATAAATATTGTTAGCAAAAGGGACAGCCCAAAATTTAAATAATAAATAATAGGAACGTCAGAATAATTTTTTTTAAATTTCTTTTGCCGGACTTGTGAGGTTTTCTGTTTATTAAAATGTAATTAGAATCTTTAATTAGTCATTTCTCTTTTAAGAGAGGCCCGCAGTAAATGCTTACGTGAGCTTGTAATTAATAAGGTAACAAATGATTTTCAAATGAAACTTTTCTTCAAACTAACCCTCTCTAATTACTATCATCGTAATATCTGTCTGTATTGATAACAAAATTAAAAAGAAACCTGAAAGAACACTTAGATTAAGGAACTAAAGAAAACCTAGTAAGTCATAACTATTTACAGTAAAAAGGCAGATTGCATGGTCAGCAAAAGAGACCACCTAAAGTCATCATTATATACTGGAGACCTCAAAATCAGCACTTCGATTGTCTGGGTAGCGGCTCGGATTGAGGAATCGGAGAGCCGAGTTCGAATTCCAGTCGAATCCATTAAAATCATTTACGTGCTTGGGAAAGTTCTGAATCCTCTTCTTTTCCCCCATCTATGGGTAAATAACAGGACAGACTTAGTTCTATAGCCTTGGGTGGCAACTGGTCTACCGTAGAAAGAAATGGCAACCTACCGAGGGAAAAAAATCTACCTCGTCAGTAATGTACCGAAAGATACATGATTGCCTAGGCGTGTATCACGCATAGCACATGGATCGTAGAGTAATAAAAATACAACGACGGGAAATGGGATCCAGAAATTCGGAGTGTCATGGGAAGGTAGCAAAAGATTTCATAAAGATCTAAGCAAACTTTTAGTTTGGTTTGTTTTATTTTTTACAGTATACCAACCTCAATTAGTTTATTTAATGCCAACAAGAGTTTTCGAATAGATTCGTATGAATTGAATATGTATTCTTTGCAATAAATCAGTTTGTAGGTCAAGATTCATTGACGTATTTTCAGAGATGGTTTTTTCTCGAGAGTCAAATGTATTGCTGGTAATTAAAAAAAATATATTGCTAGTATTTTTTATATAAAAAATCATTTTTTATAATTTCATAGTGTTTTGACACCAGTTTTGAGGGGTGGGTAACTATTTGCCCATAGCTGGGACCCTAACAGGTGCTACCACCCCGGTTCAGAATGAACCTGGAAACACCAACAATGAAAAGTTGGTTCCACGTTCATCAAAACCACCCGATCAAAGGTCTTGCTGCTGGATGTAGTTTAACGTCATACCCAGGATGAAGCAAAGTTTTAAGAGATAAGAACACGTCGTTAAAAACAAAAGAAAAGACAGCTGGGCTGCTGTGTGTCATCTAATCTAGTGTACGTCAGCGCATTCTGGCTAATCACTTCGCGTATAATGAGGTGACGAAGAACCATAGAGACATGATTCTATCGATGGTGAGAATATGAGACGGTGAACATGTGATCAGTGAGGGAGTTTAATGTGAAATAAGAACAACAATGTAAGTTATACCGACATTTCTGATATATGCAGTGAGGAAAGAGGGTCTGGAGAATATAACACGCGGAGGAAATATTGAAGGTGAGAGAAGTTGGGGAAACAGGATAATAACATAGTTTACTGATTTGTGTGGTTTTCTGGTAGGAAGATTGAGACGAATAGTAAAAGGTCAGAGGTTACTTAAATTGACATAAGACATGAAGTTGGTGGACACATGACCGCCCACGCACTTGAGTGGACTCAGCACATAAAAGAAGACTATCTATCTATCTATCTATCTATCTATCTATCTATCTCTAAGACTATTCATATCCATCTATCAGACTATTCATTATCTATCTATCTATCTATCTATATATATATATATATATATATATATATATATATATATATATATATATATATGACTCTCTCATACTAATCATATCTATCTATCTCAGACTGTTTACATTTATGTCACAGACAATTCATATCTATCTATCTATCTATCTATCTATCTATCTATCTATCTATCTTATCTTACACCATCAATCTCTATCTATATACATATTACGATCTTCATGTCTATCTATTTCAATCTATTCATATTTATCTATTAATCTGTATTTCTGTCAAGTGACACATCGCCTATATGATCATGTATTTGCCACTAACGCCTTTCTTTATTACAATAATATCACACTGCACAAGGCCCAATAGCCACACGAGGAATAGTATTACAGAGTAAGAGGTAAGAGACACAGTGTATCGGGATATGTAGGAAGATAATTCTTAACCCTCGAATTGAACAGGTTAAAAGAATGGAAAAATATTGAAGAAAGCGATGTGGTGTTACCGTTTTGTGCAAAATAAAATCAGCCGAGGTGAGTTCAAATCCTGCCTTGCCTGTTTCATTTACTTTCGCACTAATACTCTTGAAAAAGGGATTAAACTATATCTCCTCCCAACCTTCATTGCTATGGGATGAATACAATTTTTTTGAGTTTAAAGGAATTTTTAATCTGTACTCAAGGTGGTTAATGGTGCCAAAGAATTAGTTCTCAAGTTGCTAAAATTATTTCTTAATTTTCTTATTCTTGAAATTGAAGAGATTGAAAAGTAAAGAAAAAAATCGCTATAACTAATTTATTTTTTTACAGTCATCGTACATACAAA